GCTGATGAAGATGTTGAACAGTGTAGGCCCCAGGACCGAGCCTTGGGGGACCCCACTGTTCACATCCCCCCAGGTCAAGTACGACCCGTCCACCACCACCACTCTGGGTGTGCCTCATCAGCCAATTTTTGACCCATCCAACTGTGTAGGCATCAATGCCACGGTCGCTCAGTTTGTTAATGAGAATGGGGTGAGAGACAGTGTCAAAGGCCTTCTTAAAGTATTGACTGGCAACAGAGGGAGCCACATTCATATTTCCTTCAGTCACAGAAGGATCTCCATGAATAGAGTCCTTGGTGTCATGACCCAAAAGCCATGATTGTGTGTGCGCGCTTCGGCACCAGAATTATCCCCGTCAAGTTGGAGAGCATTGCACGGGAGTGTTTCCTGTTGCAGAGGAAACCCCGGTGCAGGGACGAGTTTCCCGCCTTTTTTGCAGCTTCTTTTGCAGAGTGCATTGCTCATGTTGCAAGAGGAATGCACAGTGCAAAAGAGTTCCCGCCACCGGTATGCAAATTTGTTCCCCGTGATTGGCTAGTGCTAAATTATTCACACGTGGCGGCTAACGATTGGCCTGTTAGCCGTATAAGAGGCTTGAGCAGTTTCTGCCCAAGCCGAAGAGGACTCCACATCCATCTCGTGGGGACTCTGGGTACACGGCAGGGTAATAGAAACCCTGTGTGAGATCCAGAGGAGCGTGGCGGCCTGATCCACCGCCCACCTCTTCCCGTCTTCGAACGCAACTTTTATAAGACGTATTTACGATTCCTATTTTGGTGGCTCGTTCACCCAGAGCATCCGGAGCTCTGCACCGTGGAGCCTAGCAACCTCCACGAGACCGTCTGTGTTGTTTGTCTGTAAATGCAACTCAATCAAGCTTTCCAGCCTACACCACTGCCATCTCGGTGTAAGTAAACAATCTTTTAAAACTACCGATACGCGTCCGTGCCTAATTCCAGCTCGAAGGCCTTCCCTCTCCGCCCGGGCTGCTGGCCACAGCCCGCGTGCAGCGCGAAAAGGGCTCGGGTCGCTCCCAGCCCGCACACTTGGAAAGGAGAGAAATAGCAAAATGGGAGGAGGAACAAGGTGATTCTCAATAATACATTTCTTTCTTAGGAATAAAGACTAACTTGTAACATACTTCGTAAAAACCCTATACTGCCTTATTGCAAAAAAATGCTAATATGGTGGATGTAAAAGTTACAGTTAGTAATACAAGCATGAAATATTTATTACAAATGTAATTGTATATGTATTTGCACATCAATGATGATTCATTGGGAAATGACAGATGTATAGCATGTATCCAGTCAATTAAGCGCTTTTTGGAAGTACTTTAAAATAAGCCTTTCACAGATGTTGAAATTACTTTTGGGCAATTAATATTCTCATCTAATTTTATAGGCAAATCAGACTATCCACTTAATCTGGCATTGTGTGTCCAGCAGCAGCCAAGACCCACAGTATTATTATTACAACTGTCATATTTTCCAGGCATTCTTTTTGTTGTACGGTATAAAACACCAGTACATGTTGTTTGAATAAGCGTAACGTTCTCTGTTTTGTGTGTGCCCCCTATAGCATTAGCAGTATATTGGCAATATGTACATGCATGATAGAGTGAACTTTAACATAATAATATATAATATGTTGACTACAAATAAATAAATGGAGTTGAACAGGATTGGGTCCCTTTATAGGTCAGCAACAGTTTTGTCATTGGCATCAGTGGTTTTCTTTCTTTTATTTAAATTCTTAATTCTAGAATTAAGAATGACTGAACTTTTGTAAAACTGTAGTGTTGGTATTTCTAGTGGTCATACATTTTTCTTGAGTTAAGAGTTGAAGATTTATGCACATAGATAACTTATGTAGACAGTCTGCTACCTAAGCAAGTACTTTACTGCAAATGTTACACTAGTACTCATTCTAACAGATGTAATGTATTTCCCCAAATGCTGAGGAAATTCATTAGGTTGTTCTGTGCTTAGAAAGGGCATTTTCATTTTATTCACCTAAAAATAAAAAAGAAGATACAAGCATGCATAAATACAGTGTTATCTAGTTGATTTCCTATTTCAAATGTGCCAGATTTGTTAAAATGTCTCATAAGAGAACCTTAGCTTACTTTCCACCTTGGAGAACACAAAACAGCAGCAGAGTTTCCTAATGCCTGAACAAAGGTGTTTGTGCCCAAAAGCTTGCAAAGAACTTTTTTCCAACTGTTTATTTGGAAGATATCACATCTACCCAAGGAACCTTGCCTGTCATAAGAAAATCAATATTTATAAGCTAAAACAAATGATTTGGTACAGTATGCGTATGACATTGTACAGCATGATTTAAAAGCATGCGATGGCAATTTGAACTCATTAACAAGGTACATGAATTGTAAGCCTTTGGAAATGATGTAGATAAAATGCATCCTCTGAAAAGGAAACTGTGAAGAACGAATCTTATTAACAGTGTTTGAGCTTTAGAACTTTCTATTTTACTTTTTATTCTTCACTTGAAGTTATGCTTAACATGTTTTTTAAAATATTTTAATTTGTATGTCTCTGAACATTCCATGAGTTGTGATTAACTTGTTGAAGCAAATAATTAAATTGTACGTCAAAGTATACTATCTGGAATAAATTGAATCAGTTGATAATATGTGTATGTTACAGTTTGTTTTAATTATTCACATGTTCTTTATGGATCACATCTTTCAAATAACTTAACCTGTTACAAATGCATGTGGTAGAAAATAAACTGCTCAGATAAGATATTTGATTACACCTAAATTTTCTGTGGAATTGGCCGTTAAATACAGTAGGTAGGTTGCTTGCTGGATTTTCACTCCTAGGGACCTATATTCCAAGTTAAATTTTGGTTACTAGTAAAATGCAGCAGGTATAGTGGTCACATTATTTTGTCTACTGGACAAAAAAAAGGGCCAAAACTTTATTAAATGGTTTCTTCTGTTGTATCTGCCAAAACATAGATTTGTACATGGAGATCGGGCAGGCAAGGTGCTTTGGGTAGATGTGATATCTTTTATTAGACCAATCATATCTACCCAAAGAACCTTGCCCACCCAAGTCTTTAGACCAACACAGCTACAGCAAACCCCTACTGCACGGAGATCAGGTATTTTAGAGGTGTATGCATAATTTAAACTTGCAAAAGCATCATAAATGCACACACTTTTTTAGAAATGAGCTTCTAGTCTGTAGGTAATATGGATCAAATTTTCTCTGAGCAGTGAGGTATATTTTTTATCAGCACTGAAAGATTCTGCGCAGGTTAAGATTAGCAGCACCATGTGGAGAATTTTATAGGCTTCCTTTTCATGTGATACATTGTTATAGGTTGTTGCTCTTTGGGGTAAGTCTGAAACTCCCATGGACTTCAGTTGGCCTTGGTCAGTTTCTGCAATGTTGAGTACCCGAAGGGGAATGTACCTAATATAATGTGTCTGTTATTCAAATCACAGTGAAAATGATTTCATGGATTTCCTTTTACTAAGACCCGTCACTTCAAACAACTGCAAACACTAGTTTATTCTGAGATTTTTTTGTAACCTAATTTGATAAATTTCATTAGATAAGGTTGCTTAATCCAGATAAGGGGTCAAATAGTATAAAGCTGTTTTCACTCATTGACATCAGTATAGCTTAGTCAGTTTCCAGTGGTTGAAGGTCTTTGCCATAGTATAATGGGTACAGTAATTTTATTTTTAATAAATAAACTAGTAATTAAATGATCTCTAACTTTGTTGCCTTTTAAACATTCCTAATGAGCTCAGTAATTATAAGTTATTTTTGTTTGATGCCTTTTTAACAAAGTAATTAATTAAAAACAAAATAGAAGCTAAAAAGACATTTTGCAAAAAAAGCATTCACTCGGATTGTTTGTAGCATGCTCGAATTCTTATTTTCCAACATTTTTCTTTTGCAGGTAAATATGCTGAAGATATATTTGGTGAGCTTTTCAATGAAGCGCACAGTTTCTCGTTCAGGGTTAATTCCTTACAGGAACGTGTAGATCGCTTATCTGTCAGTGTTACCCAGCTTGATCCAAAGGAAGAAGAATGTAAGTTAATTTCCACACATGACTCTTTTATTGAGATTAATTTCTTCATGCTGTAATTAGTACTAAAAAAAATGTAGGGGAAAGAAGAGTTAGGGGTTTCGGTAGGGGTTACAGCAAGAGTGCTCAACCCCCGGCCTCTAGGCCAGAGCTGTGCCATCTGGCCCATGGTGCTCCTTAGAGGTCTGAAAATTTGGTAGGTGGGGAGCACTTATAGCATTAATTATCACTTCCTTGCTGTGAGGAGCTGTGTGGGACTGGATGTGGAATCCAATCCAAACTAGCTCAGGGCTCAATCCATGAGGCACAGGGCTGGATCTGGGCTCAGGCTCAAGCCCATGGACCAATCTCATGCCACTCAGCCAGGCTGCAGAGCCAAAAGCTTTGGCACCACTGGGTTAAGACATAGGACTGTGAATTAAAATAGGTGATTTGTGGTTCTATTTTTTCAACAGTTTTTCTGTGTCAGTGGTGCTCATGGTTTTGGCCCTGCAGGCCGGATGAATGGTGTGAAACCAGTCTGTGTGCTAAATTGGGCCCCACACTGCATCCGTCCAGCCAGGATCAGGCTCCTGGAGTCTCACACCACATCCACCTGGCCAGGATCAGACTCTGGGGTCCTGCACTGTTCCTGTGTGCTGGAATTTAACCCACAGATTTGTGGGGAGCCCCATGGGCTAGATGATAGGCATAATGGGCCCGGGTTGAGCACCCCTGTTCTATATGGTCTTGAGCAGGTCAGTCAGCCTGGATACATGGTGAACACTATTTCCACTGAGTTGGAATGGTGCTCCCAGTCTCTGTTTTACTGGGTTTAAAACAGAGACATAAATCATTACTCAAATTTTTCCATCAACTTTGTATTGGAAGGAAGCATTTGTTTGGGGTGGTCTTCAGTGTCTGACTCATTGTCATTCCTTTTTTTTTTTAAATTAAAATGTGTACAGCTTGCGGGGAAGGTGAAATCTGAACTTGTAGCACTTTTTTACTATGATATTTACATATTAATCTGCCTGAGGCTAGGTCTAATTAATGCTGCTCAGTTCTCCCTTTTCGTTCTTCTTTCATCTAACCTGTCCACCATCTGCTGCCCTTTAGCAAACAATTCATTGCTTGGTTGTTGAATTTTAACATCAGAACATCTGGGAAAAGCCTTTGCTGCCTAGTTCCCAGTTGCCCTTTGTGTGCTCTTTTCTCACCAATGCAATTGTGACAAACTGACAAATCAGTCAGTCCAGTTTTTACATATCTTTCTTCATTCCTCTTTCATACACAGTGTAGTTTTATTTAAATACCTGATAGTTTTTAAGTATTTTATTTTGTTTAAAAATCCCTGATCCATATTTATTTAGAAAGTATAACCTTTTGTCTGAGTAAATTTTAGTACTCATGAAAGGCTCTGGATGACTGCCCTGAGACTGAAATCCTCTTGGTTTTCCATAATGTTGGATTTCATGAGACTTAGTCATAAGATGCAGAAGCTGACTAGCAAGCTAAAACAACTGAAAATCCTTTGAAGAGAGTCAATCATTACATTGGTAAAGGTGCGCACAAAATGCTATCTTTTCCAGTTTCCCGTTTCTTTTAGATTAAAAAAAAATACTTACAGATTTCTGGTGATGAAGAATGAGCAAATGTAAATTTGCTAATAATGACTTTTAAAAAAAATCCCCCAAGTATTATAGGTAATAAGTTTACTTTTCTTTGGATGTTTATCTGCTCAAACTTCATGGTTGGAACTTTCTGTTGGTGAGACCAGGAGTGAAAGGTGTGGTGTAGAGCAAGGCTTAGATATTTCTCCACCATATCAACTTAACTATATTCAGAGTCAAAAGATATGGGTCTGTGTCTTGGGTATGTTCTACCATGGATTTCTAGCCTGTGGTGATTAAACACAGTGATTCAAACATTCAATTCAATCTATGCTAAAACTTCTGCTTCTTACCGTTAGTGGATCTGTGAAGTTTGATAGTACAGATGTAGTAAAGAAGTAGAGACATACCTGAACTGATGGTTAAGGAAAGAAAACGAGGGAAAAAAACCTAAGAAGCCTCATTAAAAGTCAAGTTAAAATATATAGACAGTTGTTAGGCACAGTTCTCTGCAATGCAGGTTGACTAACACAGCAGTAGCTTGTTTGAAGAATTGTTGGAAGAATAAATAAAAGAATATGTGAAACGTTGTTTGGATGATTGAGAGATTCACTATACACCTTCAGTGATATCTGTGTAAAGAGTCAAAAAGAACCTACAACGTTACTTTATTAGAATGAAACTCAGTGAAAAGTGAACGAATCAAAATAGCTGAAGATTACTTATTATAGGAACTAATGGACCAGAGCCTCAGCTAGTGAAGATCAGTGTAGTTGTGTTAACTTCAGTAATGGATGATGATTTTTACTGGGTTTGATTCTGCACAGGCTTCTCTTCCTCTGGAACTAATTTCCATAGAAATAATGTTGAACCCTTAGAAAACTTCACTAGGTTGAAGCTTTTCGAAATGTAGTTATGAGGCAGGGTTTATATGAGATTTTAAAAGTGCATAAACCTTGTTTTAAGCCTCTATATAGGGGAAGATTGCATCCCATGCACCATACATATCTAAGGTAATTTTCATTTTTCATGAAAACTTGCATAGGAAAGCTGTTGACTGTACACACACAAAATGTTCACAATCTCATGAAGTTAGCCAGTTTTCTCATATCTTAGGTACTGTATGTCCCAAAGCAGGCCCACTCCAGTTCTTGAGTTGTAATCTCAGGTAGAGATTAGCATCCTAGTTTTAAAACCTAGAACTGTGTTCCAGTTCTGGATCACTCAGTGTGGTAAAACGTCCATTTGAGACAGCAATTCAGGATTCACATTTTAACTTCCTATAATGTCTATAGAGGTTATGGGATCTTGTTTCCTAAACTCAGAACAGGGTGGAAATTTAGCATTGCTATTGAAGTACTTTTTTACCAGAGGTCAAGAAATACCACTAGTACTTTATTTGGCGAGCAAAAATGCATTTCTTTTGGCATAGCTAGTAGATGTTGCCATTCAGCTGCATCAATTTGTGACCAAGATTTTTCTTTGTAAGAAAAGCAGTTGCTAAAATTGAGCAGACTGTCAGTTTAATCAATCTTTTAGCTTCTTGGTAGTTTTCATGTTGTAAATATTATGGTATAAATGGTTGATTAACAGTCTTTGACTAAAATAGTTCACCTAGCTAGCAAGGAATTATTATATCAGGGAAAGTTTTGCTCTGCAAGTGCCTCATTACCACCTTTGATATACATGAAAAGTGAGAGTCACTTTTCTCACTCACTAGATGGAAAGTTTAGAGCAATGATTCTCAATCAGGGTGCCTTGATTGTTGTAAGGGTGCAACAGTGATTGGCTCCTGTGCAAGGAGGTAAGCCCACTGCTTATTTTGTGACCCTCCCCCCCCCCCCCCCCCCCCGCCCCAATCTGCCCTAGACCCATAGACAAGGGGGGAACCCATGGCTTTGCCCTCCCAACCTCTGGCAGCCCCTACACAAGCTGTTCTGAGCAGCATGCTCTGCTGGAGGTATATGCAGAGCCACATTTTTCAACCTGGCTCATCCCCTAGCTCCTCAAATACTCCCAGGCTTGGGAAAAGAGTCTGCAGGGGCAGAAAACTCTTGACTACAACCTTCAAGTCCCTGGAGGAGCAGCTACAGTAGCAGGGGCTTCACTTTACCCCTCAGATATAGAGTGTGGGCAGGGAGGTGGTCCCCTTCTCATTTTCCCATTCTGGGACTCATTCTGTTGCCCACCCTGCTACCCCTTCAACCACCTCAGTGTCCATCATATATTGTGTGTGTAGCCCAGAACCTCATCCCTGCTGACCAGGTGTCCCTGGGCTTTGTCTGTTTGGACCCCTGGGTCAGAGTTCAGGGGTAATTGCCCTAGGATAACTAAGGGTATAAATCAGCCCAGCACTGACCTGGACCCATGTGTAAGGGGTAGGGCTGTGCAAAGCTTTGGTAGCTGATTTGATTCAGAGGAGATTTGACTTGATTCGGCAGCTGAATATCCAAATCAAATCAGGAGACCCATTAAGAGGTCCAAATTGATTGGGAGCCTCCAAATCTATTTGGAGAGATTGAGGGTCGATTCAGAGATTCAGCCATAGGCTATACAGGTTTCTCTCATATAAAGTGAACCCCCTTTATAATGTAAATAGGGATAGGTTCCCAAGGAGGGAGGCTGGTCTTAGGGAAAGGGTGGGGAGAAGGGTGCTGTTCCCGGGGTTACACCTGCTCTGCCTGTCCCCCCATACCTGGGCGCTGCATGTCCTCACTCACCCCAGCTCCTGGGCTCTGCCATGCCATGGTGCAGGCAGCTGGTGTCAGCTGCTCCCAGGGCTGCTGCAGCAGGAGCTGGGGGGAGTGGCAGCAAGCAGAGCCCCGTCCCCCCTGCACCCACTGACAGTTCCCGTTGCAGCTAGCACTGGTCGCTCCCAGGGCCATTGCAACAGGGGTTAGGGTGAGTGCAGAGAAGCTGCACCATGTCACATGCTGCCCGGGGCTCCACTTGCTGCCACTCCCCCCAGTCCCTGCTGCAGCAGCTCCAGGAGTAGCTGACACCAGCTGCAACAGGAACTATCAGTGGGTGCAGGGTGGGGACATCTCTTGCTGCTCTATGCCCCCCCCTGGAGGGCTGTGGGACTGTGTTGAGCTCTTCCCGGGGGCACATGCACCTGGATCTGTGCACAGGATGACAGCAGGTTGCCAGGCTGGGGCTGGTGGTGGCACCAGGCTGAGTCTTCCCGGTGCTCAGGACTGGCACGCCAAGCACAGGCAACAGCCCAGTGCCCCCAGATCTGGACACGGGATGACTGCAGGATGCCGCTGCAGGCTCGGGCTGGTGGCAGCACTGGGCTGTTCCCGGTGTTTGGGGTGGGTGCACCAAGTGCCGGGAAGAGTCAGCCTGGTGCCACCGCCAGCCCCAGCCTGCAGGCAGAGCATGGTGCAGCCCCAGGAATGGCATCCCTCC